GTTGTCTCCGTAAGTACCTATTTATTGTGCTACGTATGTTTACCTATTCCTTAATTTAATTGTTTGAGATCAAAGTACTCGTATTTCAAATAAGCCTTTGGTTGTATTTGCATAGAATGCACTTACTTTCGAGCGGCTGAATAATATCGATCGAGATAGCTTGGAAGTTACGAGAACAATAACAAACAGGTAGCTGCATTTGACATAGGATTTGTTCCATTTTGTTATTGATAAAAGCAAAAAGGGCCCTGCAACCCGATTCCCTTTTTTTGGACGACTTTTCATATTTCTAAAATATTAAAAAGTCTGATCATAACGCCCTTCGTTATTCACAACTCGCAAAATAACTTTGTACATAGTATTCGAATAGACGAGATTTCAACCAACACAGGTTTACTGCCATTTTTTTTTAGGAATAAAGGTTAACGATAAGTATGCTAAAATGATTAAAAACAGTTGACTATTTGTTGTCTTCTTCCTTTCATTTCACCTCATACTCAACAGACCGTAAGTACCTATTTAGTGTGCTACGTATGTTTACCTATTCCTTAATTTAATTGTTTGAGATCAAAGTACTCGTATTTCAAATAAGCCTCGGGTTGTATTTGCATAGAATGCACTTACTTTCGAGCGGCTGAATAATATCGATCGAGATAGCTTGCAAGTTACAAAAACAATAAAAAACAGGTAGCTGCATTTGACATAGGATTTGTTCCATTTTGTTATTGATAAAAGGAAAAAGAGCCCTGCAACCCGATTTCCTTTTTTTGGATGACTTTCATATTTCTTAAGTATTAAAAAGTCTGATTGTAACGCCCTTCGCTATTCACTACTTGCAAAATAACTTTCTACGTAGTCTCCGAATAGACAAGATTTCAACCAACACAGGTTTCCTGCCATTTTTTCTGGGAATAAAAGTTAATGATAACTATGCTAAAATGATTAACAACAGTTGACTATTTGTTGTTTTCTTTCTTTTATTACACCTCATACTCAACAGTTGGTAAGTACCTATTTATTGTGCTACATATGTTTACCTATTACTTAATTTAATCGTTTGAGATCAAAGTACTCGTATTTCAAATAAGCCTTTGGTTTTATTCGTATAGAATGCACTTGCTTTCGAGCGGCTGAATAATATCGATCGAGATAGCTTGGAAGTTACGAGAAAAAACACAAACAGGTAGCTGCATTTGACATAGGATTTGTTCCATTTTGTTATTGATAAAAGCAAAAAGGCTCTGCAACCCTATTCCCTTTTTTTGGACGACTTTTCATATTTCTAAGGTATTAAAAAGTCTTATCGTAACGCCCTTCGCTATTCACTACTCGCAAAATAACTTTCTACGTAGTCTCCGAATAGACGAGATT